GACGATCTTTGGCTTGTTTCTCTCTTGTTTCTTTCCTTCTGGGAGAAGGAGATAGATGAATTTTGTAGAGAGGACAGAAAATCCATTTTTTATTTTCTATTCTGTAGCCTAAGTGTGAAAGAACAACGAGCCCTTAATCAATCTTTCCAATGTTCATGAGAGTTTTGGAGATGCAGTGCATTACAGATGAGCAGTCCTGGGCAGTGATGCTTACTGGTTGGCATGTACTTGTTTTGGCACGAGGGATACCTTCTCTCAGAGGACATGCTGTCCATGTGGGAATCTTTTAGCAGTCCGGATTTTAAATACTGCGATAGGAAAGAACAGTGATTGCTAAAAGAGTGTATAAAAGCAGTGGTACCTGAAATTAATAGACAGGGAACACTCTTAGGAAGTATAAGAAACAGAAGAGTAGTCTGGGAAGGAGTAGCGGTGTAAAGGAGCAGAAAGGAAACATTTATCTGTACTTTGAAGATTATACTCCTTTTTAAGGAGAGTTCCCTTAAGGATAGCATGTGTTCAGGACACTTAAATAGCAGAAGAGGTAGGGAAAGAACTAATTCTTAGAAAGAAAATGGGAAAAGAATAGTAGAGAATAGAACAGGTGATTGTTTCAAATGCTTATTTCTGTGGTGGTTGATGTCTGTACTTGTTTCAGGAGATGATGCCTTTGTAATAAATCTTCCTATCACTTCAAATGAGAACGGCAGAACATTTTATATTTGATCATTCTTTAAATAGATTACAATCCTCATCAAATACCCTCCAGTTTTCTTATTTCTCTCTCTTTCGTTAATTCTTTGTTATGAGTGGTTATAATTCCATTTTTACAAGTGTCACTAACAGAACCAAAATGGTAATATTTAAAGCAAATATTGACATTTAGTGGTATATTGTATGACAAACTATTTTTATGAGCATTTGCAGGATGCACTGGGCAGAGCTGATCATGTCCATTCTCAGGCTCCTGAAAGAAGTTTTCAATGAGTAGCTACAAATTTAAAACTGTGGAGAATCATTGGGTATGAAAGCTGGAAGTATTCTAAAGAAAAACAACAACTAATGTTCTGATCTAAAATCTGTAGAAATTATGCTATTCAAGTATATATTTTTAAAAAAAATTAATCTTGTTATTGAATCCTTTATAGAGCAAACTTTCTCAGTAGTGAAATTTGGGGGAGGAAGTATGATTCTTTATGGCAGGAAGATTTTGCTTTACAAAATATTTGGCATTTGCCCACCTTGAAGAGCCAAAAAGATTTCAAGGACAGAATTTTCTCTGGTGGAATTATGTAGGTGGGCCTTCATGTTTTATGTACTGTAAATTCAAGAAGATGTGAAAGTGAAAAGTGTCAGGTGTGAAGTTCAGCTTATGGCCTGTTTTACAAGAACTGAATATAATTGGAAATTTTTTTGTCTAGAGCATTAGAAGCACAGATCTAATTAATCAGGGATAGGTAGTCCACAGAGATTTCCAGAAAGCTTCAGTGTAAAGAGATGAATCCCCAGATGTATTTTATCAAGAAAGCTGTAGCAGCACCTGCCACAGTATTGGAAGAATGGAGGGATGAAATTGAAATGTTGTTGTGTCTTAACTCACCTTTTAATGAACAAGTTTTCTCTGCAGATGCTTGGAGTAAGGGGAAAGCAGGTACTAAAACCCTTTCCCATCCAGAATAATTGTTCAAAATAAGTAATTTTTGTCTTCTTTGTGCCCTGAATTATGGATTCAGTTAGCAGATCCAGTGGCACTTCTGCCTCGAATGGCTTGTACCTGTGTTAAGAGTATTGCAGTGTCTTCTTGCCATAGAAAAGCATGTGATGCAGCTGTCTTTTCTGCTTTCCCCAAGAGTTTTCAACGCTTCTAGTCTTGGTTTTCTCCAGCACATTTCTATGTGCAAAAGCTGAACCATAAAGCATGCCAGTTTCAGCTGTCATAAGGTTGTTATGCATTTTTGTGACTAAATTATCTGGTCTAATTATTTTTTGGACCAAAACAAAAATATTTTGTTGTTCTGAGGATCGAACCCTTGTGTTTACTGTCAATGTTAGAAATAAGGAAAATAATCAGGTAAAAGTTGCTAACTCTTCCTTCTTTTTCAAAAGCCTCTTCCTTTTCTTCAGCTGGTGTTCTTCGTTTCTAGAGATGAAAAAAACCCCTGTCTTCCAGGTACATGGTGTGACTCTTAGGGATGGTCCTGTGCAGGGCTAAGGGTTCGACTTGATGATCCTTGTGGGTCTCTTCCAACTCAGCATACTCTGTGATTCTGTGATTCCTTTATTGTGTCTGCACACCTGGAGGTTTGACTGGGAACATGTTCTGAAAAGTGATACTTTGAATAGGTGTTACTCCATGGAAAGCTGTATATCCCGTAGTTGTTAATGTCATGCTCTTAAATTAAATTAAGCAGTTCAGTGTAACTAATTATCACTTCAATTATTTTCATAATTCCAACTCCAAGGCAACTTTGTATTTTTAGCTGGCTTAATCGTATCACATAGCCATGACTTCCAAGGTGCTGTCCAAGGCAGAGAAACAACTTACTTGGAAAGAGCTTATTAGGCTGCAAGGCAGAATTGTTCCTGGTGACAGGCTCTCCTAGTTGTTTTGCAGCCCCTGTTTGGCTGCCTATTTGGAAGCAGCTTCCATGTCTTGAACTAGTGTTTAGGAAGGGACTGGACTTCTTTCATGGATGGAAATCTGATGAAGAACAGAGGTGTGAAGTGCCCAACTAGCCATGTTTTTCCTTGTTCTTACGTCAGCCAATCTGCAAAATGCCTCATCTTGAGAACACAGGAAACATCTCATTGAAACCTATGACTTAAATCCTCCCCAGAGCTTCCCTCCATCCTAAACTCTCTTACAAAAGGGATAAAGACTGTGAATCTAGAGAGGGTTGGGAGATTACTGGTCCAACAGACACTCTGTATTCTCTACCTGGATATGAAGCCAGCGTGGACTTAACCCTGTGCACTAGTTTAAAGGTTAGAGGAAACCCCAGCCTTGCACTGCTTTGTGTTGTCAGTGAAATGCTAGAAGACAATGGAAAGCATTTCGAAAGGCTGCACTAGACAGAGGAAGATTAATCCCATGTGAGTGAACACTTTAGTCTGATTCATCCATCAGTCTTGCTGTGTGCGAAGTGAGCCCTAATGATGCATCAGTTATTGGCCTTGGTGCGTAGTTTTTTTCCTTCTTTCACTTACAAATCTCTCTCAATTCCCATGTTTCTGAGGTTTTAGGCTTACACCATATTAGAGAAACGCTGAGAATGATGCCTGGGCCAGTGAGAAAAGATAGCTTAAGACAATTTTTCTGTTTTGGTAGCTCCTTAAACCTAAAATTTCACAGACATCATTATTAGCATCTTACAGGTGAGATTTATTTTTTTTGATCAGTGAGCAGCAGTTGATCCACAAAGATGTTTTAGAGAGATTGCTACAGGTTAACAGGCTATGTTCAGAAGTAGATGTAGTCTCATAGAAATTCGTAGAGGTTACATGGATGCTAAGAGATTCAGCATACATCTTTTGCAAAGCTGTAAGAGGGCTGGGTATGTACATTAACTCCGGTGACAAAATTTCTGCAGTATGAGCTTGTTTGTCCTAACATTCACCTTATGGCTTCTGGTGGCAAATTCATCTCTGCACAAAATTATTTCCAGATGATTATTTTGATCAGAGAACTGATTGTAGAGGAAGTACATGTTCAAAATGCAGTGAGGTCATACCACCCTCCTTGTAAGGCCCTACAGAATGGTAGGGCAGCTGAGAACAATCTCAGTTTAATCTTGATTTAATCATCCCAGGAATACACAGAGGTCTGCTGTTTCATGAAGCAGATGGAAAGACAAAACTGCAAATTAAATCCGAAACAAAGTGCTGATTCTCACTGTAAATATTTTCTGTTCTGAAAAAGGAACAGTGGGATAAGAAAATTATGCAATTCTAGGTAGTTACAGATTACAGGATTTTCAGTGGAAGTACTTCTCTGATGCCCAGTGAGCATCTTTTGCTTACAAAGTGCTTGGTTTTAATACACCTTCTCTGTTCATCTGCAGGCCTCCACCCCTGCTGAGGGTTGATCTTTTTAGAACTGTATTTCTAAAATATTCCTGCAAGACTTTGTACTTTAAAAACTCTTTTGGAAGTAGTAGGGCCTTTCATAAGGAAAGATAGGTAATGAACTTCAGTGTTTTACAGGCCAGATTTTTAGAGGTATTTAAATGCTATAGCAATGGAAATCGAATATCTAGATGCTTTTGGAAATCTCTTAAGATGCATAACTGTGTCTGTAGATGCTTTAATAAATTTGTTCCAAGTGGTTTACCTAAGATGCAGTTAGTCACTGCTAAAGAGTTGAAAAGGGAAACTTTCCCCTTACTGCTGTAGCCATTAATAATTTTTGCTTTCTTTATGACAAAGCAATGGGGAAATATTGCTGTTTGTAGAATCCAATGGAATAGGGAAGAAATAGCAGTGAGTTATTAAACCAAAGTTCAGCTTTTTCTGAGTCGTTGACTTCTCCTGTAAGCTCATGTTCATAACTGTAACGGATGAAAGTAGCCTTCCACTCTTTGTAAAGACTCTATAATCACCACACAGTTAATCAAAATTATTTGCTAAATCTTTTATACAGTATGCCTGAGGGTCTGTGAAGTATTAGATAGAAGGCCTTTGAAAGAATTTGATCTTCTCAATGTGTTTTAATAGTAAAATTCACATGCTATTATTTCTCTTTTCTGATTGATCATAGTTTTTGTTGCAAACTTAGTATCTCATTTGAGAATTTAATGTTTCCAAGTTTACATTCATTTTTCTTTAGATCGTCTCATTTACTTCCAAACACAGGGTGAGTATGATTGCCAGGTCAAATGATAGCAATATAGTCTCTACAAATAGCTTTTAGCAGTGAAATCTTTTTACCCTGTTTTTCATCATTACTACATATTCTCATTTTACTGTTTTTCTCATTAAATGCATTTGTTTCAATTAACCAGGATTCTGAGAAACTGGCTGGTGAAGAGCATGCCTGGAAAGAAGTCAAAGACGCTGTAAATAAAGTGAGATATCCAAAATCAAAAGAAGGTATCCTTTCAGTGACATGCCATAGTTTGTCATTCAGTTGTGGAAATAATCTAGAAAGCCCCTTAGTATGCAATTCATCTCTTGAGATTAATTTACTTACATTTTCATTCTTTTATTTTTAATGTTTTTAATTCATTTGATGTTTAAAATGGGCACTATTCATAATTGTATTACTATAGTCTCTGATTACCTGGACTGGAACTGCTTCATGGAAGGGATGGTAGCTACTTAGGATGTAAAGGGATATTTTCATTCAAGTTTGGATTTCTACCATCGCACTGCTTCATATAAATCCACTTTTAAATAGAAAAAAGGTTGTTAAATTATTTTCACAGCAGACATTATAGAATCATTATAATAAGTTATAATAATAATTTATAATTAAGCAAATTGAATGAGATGATCTTGCACTAATAAACAGAACTGGAGCCTAATGGCTGTCATGTAGATATTCAATCCAATTAAAGAAATTAGTGAAAAGCAACAACCAAGAAAAGATGAGCAGAAGAGAGATGGAGATTTTTACTAGAATACTATGGGTATACTGCTCTCTCTCTTATCTTGGTCTATTCAGTGGAATTTTTCTGACTGTGAACTTGGCTTATTGTGGCAAGATGTCTTACCATTTTAGAAACATGGGCTTTCTCTCAACCTAGAGAGAATTTAATCTTCCAGTACTCCTTTTTGGCAGCATGAAAAGCAGGTTTGCACAGTGTTATTCCAGGCTGGAAACAAGTGATTACAATTCTTATTGTGCAAAAAAGAAAAAAACCTACACAACCGAGTTTGTTTATTTCTAATCCAGAGAGATTTATTCATGAGCAAAGGAGAAACACTCATCTCATCTTACGTTAATTTTTGTATAGTTTCTAGTCTGTCTAAAGTTCCTCTGTCTTCACTGGATTGAGACAGACAATACTGAAATAGACCTTCAGGCATTCAGTTATATTTCAGGGACTATGTTTTAACGTGAAAGTTAAATTATAGGTATGCAACCTTAAGTTGCAATATTTTTTATACCAAAATTATGGAGTCACGATACTGGTCCTATTTAATGTTCCTATATTTAATTGCAGGAGAAATTGCACCTAATTAAATTTACTAAGGTCTTTAATTAAGATTACTGATTTAACTGATACTTAAAAATTAATCAAATACATCATAGTAAAAGGTAACAGGACTGGTTGAAAAAAATCTGTTCTTGTTGTCTGTTCAGCTTCTGTTCTCAGTCATGGGCTGTTTGAAATATGTCATCTTCCCTTCCATTGCACCACAATACCAGTGCTAATTGACGTACATTGGCAAGTGCAGTACCTGAAGAGGGAACTTGACTTTTGCCCACTTGCCAATAATGAGTAGAAAACCTTTCTGGCTGACTGAGGCACATACTTATTAGTTTCTGCAAATGTCATTTTTTTAGCAAATTAAACCAACAGTTTCTACAGTTGAAAAAGTTTGTGACTCCCACAGTCTGACTTACTGATTATAGCTGATAAAGCGTTGTAATGCTAAATCTACAGTTAGAGAGCGTCTGCTTGAGGCAGTCCTCCTCTAGTCTTGGGCAGATACAGGATAGGCAGCTTCTCTTTTGTCCTGTTGCAGCTGACAGAGAATTTTCTAAGTTGTAATTTACATACCTACAAATTTGGTCCCAACAGGTTTTGTTATAAAGCACATCTGTCATTAGATGCTAGTCAGTGAACAAAGCAGAATAACAAGAAGTAAGAGCAGACAGACTATGCATCAGCTAAAATGGTAATCTTTCAAAAATGTCAGTGCTTTGTACTTTCTACAAAAATTGTATCAAGTGGAAATAATATCCCCCACTCTTCTGTTTGTCTGCCCTTAATCGGTTGTAAAGAATACATGGATGTTTGCCAGAGATATAAAGGTTAAGGTGCAATTATAATAACACATTCCTTCCCTTATATGGTTCTTTCAATCCAAGGGCATGAGAGCAATTCACAAATAATTAGTTTAGCCTTGTAACAACCATGCTATAAATCCTGGCCCAGCCACGTAGTGGTCACATTCTTAAATTTAAGTGGGTAAATATTCCCATGTTCAAGAAGGACTAATTACTTCATCACAGGTTCACATTGTACACTTTAAACTCATCCTTGGATTAGTGTGAATAGTACTTTCAGTAATGTTGTGAAGATAACTGCTGGACTTCCTTGAACTGATTGTATGGAAAGGACTATGATACAATCAATGTTATTACTTCTCTTACTATAAGTCTAATTTTTTCTTTATTTCATTTGTTCTTACTGATGTGTGTGGTGTCTTTTTGGTGTTTAGACAGCTTGCATTCTGGGACTCCCATGAGTGCAGTCACAGATGACAGTACTCATTTTAAAACTGAAAATTCTTAAAGTGTTCAGCTTAGGTGTGGTCAGAAAGAGAAGAATCTGGTCCACACAGAAGTTGAATAAGTGTAGAATGTAATGGAAATAAGTGTTTTGTAGTAAGGAATATCCAAATAAAGTGAATGCAAGCCCCAGGTTACTTTTCCTCTATTCCAAACTCACAAAAAAATCTTCTTGTGACATTGGAGGTGAAAATCTTCTGTACTGCCTAGTTCATTAGTCTTCAACTAGTCAGACATAAAACTATGATATTTTTCTTTCTCATGCATGAAACATGCAGCTGTACATGAAAAAAATCCACAATGCTCTTTATAATTGTTTCAAGGAGAAAGAAAATTATTTAATTTCAAGAAAAGGTTCTAATTTAATGAGAATTTTAAAAAAATCTTGGTCAGCTTAAAAGAATGTACCATTATTTAATATATAAAACCATAATTTTCTTTTTTTAGCCACTGAAACATTTTTTAAGATGCATTTCCATGGGCTCTTGCCCTTGGCTGTAAGATTTGGAGGAGTATCTTAAGTAAATAATGTTTCAGCACCTAAATAAAAGTTATTTGAAATTTTATTGTGTATTAAAATATCTTTGCAATTTGTCATCTTTCTTTTACCATTTTTTGCTAAAATACTGCCTTCTATAGAAATTGTTTTGCTAGATGTAAGCAAAACATAGTTACCTAAGCTACCTCTTCTGCGTTCAAGTGTGTTTTCAAGAATTGTAGCAGAGTCTGAAATGGTGGCAGCTTTTCTATTTTAATGCTTTGTAGCTCTTACACCTTGCTAAACAGCATTTAGAACTTGTATTTTTGTTTGATTAAATACATTTCTTTAACTAAGGCCAATAACAGAGTGGAAGCACGTTCTGGCAAGATGCCAGAATCTCTTGAGCAGTAACATGGATCGCCTACCAGACACAAATATCTATCAGCTGAAAATGCTTGACTGTGCCATGGATGCCTGTATTAACCTTGAATCCTGGGAAGAAGCATTGTGTTATGGCCTCAGGACTCTGGAACCATACAGGTAAGAGATGTAATTGGTTCAACTGGTTCCAAAGATGGGGGAGAGCTAGCTGTCTCATTAAAAACAAAGACTGTGCTTCATCTCGATTCTTCTTACTCTTTTTATTTCTTGTGTACATCTTGCATTGCTTTCTAGGTTAATGAATGAGGCAGAACTCCCATTCTGCTTTCACAGTCAGGCTGTGAGGAAATAGAATGATAACAGGAACTATAATAATAACTTGATTATTAGCTCCTTGCTGTTTCATGTGTTCAGATGCTCCCCCATTCCTGATCAGAAACTGACTTTCTGGTTCAGACTCCATTGACATGAGGGTATCAGTGTTTTATGCTCAGGTCAGACCTGAGGGACAGGTAGCAGGTTGAAACTGTATATTTTCTGCATACTCTATACATAGAATTTACAGAAAGGATAAAAAAAAAGTCTTGCAAAATGCAATTTCAACTGGAAATTAAAAAGCTCCTGATCTTTATTTTGGGAAGGAGCCAAAGTGGTGAAGGATTTACTTTTCTTTTCTCCTAGTCAGTACCTATTCCTATGCTACCTGCTGGGAGGGTTTCTGAGTCTGATAGTCATTTGTTGCTAAGGAAGGATAGTCTAGGAGATCATACATCATGTGGTAGGTTTGAAATTGATTGGAGCCTGGAGCTGTAATGCAACTTTGGTCATCTAGTCGAGAAAGGGCAGGTGCTATCTGCTTTGGTCTGTGTTGTAAAAACTTTTAAGACTCAAATCTTTGGGTTCTAGATAGTTGCATTGTTTGTAACTAAGTGTAAACCTGTCCCAAATGTCCAAATGTAATGTCATTCACACATGAATGTTCATTCTTGGTAAGGTATTTTTTGGAGCATCCATTTCTCCTCCAGTGAAATACACCATGTAATGTTTCAGAACAAAGTGTGAGGAGTATGCTAGTGCTGAACAATATGTTCTGCTGTGAATATGAACATTTCAGATTTTGCATGTTTTCCCTAGTCAAATGGGGATGCCATCATCATTCAGCATTTTGCCTGAGGAAATTCCATGTGGCAGTCTGTTTCTGAATAAAACTCTGGGCTCCACTTGAGAAACAACATAGTGTTTCAGAGCTTTCACTAAAAAGTGATTATCAATAAAACCTGCATAGGCTGTGGTACATCACAGCGGTAGAGTAGCACTGTGTTCATAATGATTATTCCTTTTCACAGAGGAGGACATGAATACCTGCAAATTTTCACATTTCTGCAGGGTGAAATTCATGTCGAGCATGTCCCACTTAACCTTTTAAACATGGCTTATGTAGTACTGCAGCAGAACATGCTTCCTGCCAGCTTTCTACCATGTGGCATGCTCCAGATGAACAGAATAGTCTGCCTGTTTAAATGTTCCCTTATTAAATAAAAAACCTGAACCTCACTGTTTTTCATTTGGTTTGGGTTTCTTTATAACTCAGTTAGCTCAGTTCTTCACAACTGAAAACTGAGTATTTTTTTCTGCAGACATTACTGAGAGCAGAGATTACAGTGAGACTGAGTGCAATTTTACCAGATAATTTAATAAAGCTTTCTTTGTTTCGCTTGTGGAAGTGTACTGTAGTTTTCAAGCTGTTTAATGCAGCAGTTTGGAGATGAACGAAAGGGTTCAACTGTGCATCCAATTAGTATCTCTTAAGGAATGTTATTTACATGAGATATTTGACCTTTTTTGCACCTTGAAGAGCTTGTCCTTGTTCTATTCTCATCCAAAAGCATTATTTAAGAGTGATTTTCGGTTGTTGCTTTTTCTTTATACCTTCAAGTCATCACTACAAGCTTTGACACCTGAAACAAAATCCTCAGTTTCTCATTACAACAAATTGTGCCCTAAGCAGCAGGAGAGCAAATCCTAGGAAATCTTTTGGGATACATTGAATTTCTCCTGTTGAATCAATCTACTGCTTGGCTGCTCCTGTAGTTCCATTATAGCTACCTATTTTCCTTTCCTCAACTCTGGAAAAAGTATTCATACAACTCTCCACAGGGAATCACCTGAGAATTCACACAGTCCATATAAATAGGAAATCATTGTTACAACTTTAAAGGCTCTGGAGATTTGGTCAAAACCACTTTTAATTTCAGGTAATGTGTTTATTGTGCATTTTCTATTTTTTTAGCAGCAGGATTAATCTTCAATGCTGTGTGACACATTGTATCGTAATGTATATTTTCATTATGATAGTTGCTGACTTTTTCAGAATCATCCACTTCATGCAACTGGCAGAGATAGATGACTAAACTACATAAAACTGATTTGTCATGCTGAATACCAGCCCCTATGTTTTAGGTAGTGACAATAACCTATGAGGAGCATTGTTTAGGACCTCTGAAATGTTTTTAGAACTTCCAAAAGAAGGGGAGAGGTAGTGTCTGCCAAGATGAAAAGCTGCCTCCTCTCTTTGTGCTGAAAATAGCTGTCTATTATTTGTTAAAACCTACATCTCCTTTCACTGAATAGCCTAAGCCAAGCCAGGCTTTACTTGTAAATGTCTCAGTAATAGCCTATCTGCCCACGAGCCTTAGCAAAAGTTAAGACATTTGCCTAAGTGAAAGCTGCCCCACGTCATAGTCAGCACTCAGCAGCTTGCAAAAATAAACTTCCTTTCAAAAATCCTCATGAGCCTTAACCACAGAATAACAGAATATCAGCAAGAGTTGTTACATGGGTTTGTCATATCTCAGTTAGCACATTCACACTGGGCTGACTGCTGCTCATGAAGGATCAGATTCAGAGATACTGAGAAAGACAGATTTCCCTTAGGTTACCTCAGAGGAAGGACCCCAGCATTTAGCCCTTAAATTACTGAGAAGGCACATATGTTCTGGGGATTAGGCTTGGGGGTTTTTTTTCCGCTTGTCTCAAGTATTCTGTGCTTCACACTGCAGCCAGAGAATGGAATTATGCATCTGTTATAAAACTCTACTAGAGGTACTCAGCTATTGTGACAAGAGTAATAGGAGGAAAGAAGTAACTACTTGATGCCATAGACCTACTGGATTTACCTACTGGATAAAGCCATGTCACCTCTTTGGGCTCTTGTGGCATCAGGTCTGGTGAGATTCTGATAGAGAGAGGACAAACGTTCACTGGTTTCTGCTCTGCACTGCTTATAATCCCCTGCTGAACTTCAAGCTAATGTAGAAGTCCCACTGATTTTCATATGGGTTGTTTTAATTAACAACCCTTCATCTCCACTGCTGCAACATTAGAAGTTACTGGAGGGTTCCAACATTAACAAGAGAAAATTCCTTCTTTTCATCGCATACAGAAGAGTTGTGCAAAAGTGCTGTTCTGGCTCTTCCTCTGGCAGCCTTGCACATCCTTCCTCCTCCATCCTCTCTCTGCTGAGTCAGCACTGATACAGGGATTGTGCTAATGTGTCTGTTCTGCTTCTGGAGTGGGAGGGAGCTGGGTAGGTGCAAGCATCTCATATTTGTGTTACCTGTGCATCATTTGTCTGCCCTTCTACCTTCTCCTATTCTCTTCCAGTGACAATTTGAAGTACCAATTACTTCACCTTTCCTCAACGACTGAGTTCTTCTAGGGAACAGGGAAAGCAATCCCAGTGAGCGCAGTTTTGGATTGTTTTGCAAAGGACTGGGTTTAAGAATAGTGACTGGGATGTGGGATGTTCTTGTTGAGTATTTTCTGAGAATAGCGTTGAATTTTCATTGAGTGAATTAAACACCAGCCAGGGATTTTTGATTTAGAATTTTAATTCAATATATATGATGGACTATAGTTTCTAAATATGTGAACTTCAATCAAAAGGCAGATTAAAAATTGAAGGTTGCTAAAGTATCCCTTCCATGAGTCCTGATCTTGTAAAAAAGCCAAAAATAGCTGTAGAACCTAATATTCTTGGAAAAAAATCTAAACCCATTTTCTCTTCTTCAAGAAGGCTCTCCAGCAAAGAGGTTGACTTTCTTTTGATTCGATTTTGCCCCCTTTTTGAATGCATTTTACAAAAAAAAAAAATCCTGCTTTTACAGCTATGTGTTTTGCCGTACACACATGGTATATTCAGTAACTGAAAATAATTTTTTTCGTCAAGTATATATGGTTCTTTACTGAGTTTAACAGACTCCTGAGTCCTGGCTAGTTCTGAGGCACTTGAATTGAATTTACATTGAAAGTTAGAGTGCCTAAAATTATCTAAAAAAGTTATCACTGCAGTGATAACTAGGGCCACTGGGGGATGCTACTGCTTAAGGGTTACAGCCGGGATTCGGCGCCAGTCGGCACCCTGGTTGTGGGAGGTCCCCTGAGGACTCGTGCCTGGCTGGCAAATTTCTGAACCTATAGACAGTACTAATTCAGTGACCAAAGTTCAGTGTCTTAATCATAAACCATCAGTTGTAAACATAAATCTTACCTCTGGGATAGAGGGAGAGAAAAATGTGAAGGTGGAGAAAGCAATTCAAAGAAAGAATGAAACAAAGAGTAGAAAGAATAAAATCTACCTTCTTCACTTTGCTGGGGTTTTAGAAAATGCTCATGGTTAGAGAAAAATATGTCAAAAGAAGAGGAAAACCCAGTATAAATTAGAGAGTGTATTGTCTCGGGTTCATTGTTGATAATTCTTCCAAAAGACAGATGTTTCTAGCAATATTTGCACAACTTTTGGCTTCAGTGTACCTATTTTATAAATAAACAGGGAGAATGTCTGTCACTGGGCAATATATTTAGGAATCCCTTAAAACACTTCAGCAGCCCACTTAAGTCTTCCATTCTTCCCCTCTTCCTTCCCCTTCAGTCCCAACAGCCTTTTCCAAAAATGAAAAATAAAAGGTTTTATGACTGGTCTGGTGCCTAAGTTATCTACATCCTAATCGATCCATTTCCGACATAAGAAATGGATTTTCTGGTTTGCTGTTTGTCTGCATAGCACCACCACCTTGGATTCTTTGGTCCTTTCCTAGTTGTTTTTCTTGCATCTTTCCATCACAACTATGTGTTGTTCCCCAAAATGATGCTGACCTGCA